TGGGGGGTGGCGTGGTGTTTCCTCATCGTATTCAAACAGGAACACGAGGTAGAGGAGGGAGCGGGAGGGCAAGGGGCAGCCCCCGCACCCTCCACCTTGTTTTCCTTCTCTGGCATGGATGCCAAGCGTGGCTGGGCTCCGAGCTCTGCCTCCTAGCCTCGTTAGCGGAGGGAAGCCGAGAAATTCCCGGCTGAGGCTGATCCCCGAGTCGGCAGCGCTGTGTGTCCGGGTTGCGGGAGGAGCTGGAGTTAGATAACCGGTAACTGCATCACCCCAGCACTCTGGCAGTGGGGAGGGAAGGAGACAGAGCAGAGTAACATGCACGTGGTTGAAAGCCTGACATTTTGGAACCCTTATCTTCGTCCTGCCACTGATTCAGCCCGTGACCTCAGTCAGGTCGTTTCCCCTTGTGTGCGTCAGCTCCCCACCTGTGAGCAGAAGATAATCTCCTTGCCACTTTGCAGTGAGTGAGAAGGGTCAGCGGCCCTTTGCAGAGCATGGGAAATGCAGAAAGCACGGTACTGAGGAACCAGGAGGATGTCTCACTCAGTCCTGAGCCCAGTCCTTTTGGCGCCTTTTCCCAGGCAGCAGTACTCACGTTTCCTCTTTTGTTTCCTCCCCCCCTCAGTCATCGATAAGTTTGACTATGTCTTCGCAGAGAACGGCACAGTGCAATACAAGAACGGGCAGCTGGTATCCAAGCAGGTAGGTCCAGCTCCGTGGCTCTCCTTCCCTGTGCCCTGTGCACCTTGGGGAGCAGTGCCTGGCCCCAGGCAGATGGGCAGCCTCTTCTCCTCTCCCCAAATGCCAGATCTGAATGTCCCACTCCTCCGGGTCATGTTCTTGGGTGGGCTTCACGGAAGGTCAAGCATCTTCACTCCCCCTTCTCCTGCAGGCCATTCAGGACCACTTGGGGGAAGAGCTGCTGCAGGATCTAATCAACTTCTGTCTCAACTACATGGCGCTGCTGAAGCTGCCCAAGAAACGGTAATGACCCAAGTCCATGCAAATGGCAGTCATATCTGGTTTCTAGGGAGCTCTGGGCTCCAGAACTTTCCTAAGAACAGCTGAGCTACAGAGCTTGTCTTGCTCCAGGTTTTATCTTAGCATCTAGAGGCCCTGTGTAGGATCACTGTCCCACCGAGCTGGGCACTGTGGGCAAATAATGGAGGAGGGTCTTAGTTCTGGAGAGTCTTTTGCTCCTCGGATTTTTTTCCCTGGGAAGAAGGATACAGCCACTGCATGCACCAGGGTACAGCCACTGCATGCATCTCATTTAGGACAATGGTACCAGCTCGTTACTGGTCAGGGCATCAGGCATCATTGGTCGTATGAGTTTCCAAACAGACGAACAATGGCTCTTAAGATGGGAGGTCCAGCGCCTGAGCACACAATTTCACACTGTTTCTGACCCAGTGTCGCTTGGCACCACTGGTAATAGGGCTGACCCTGCTCTGCCCTAACCGTGTGTTCCCGTCTGCTTCCCCCCATGAGAACTAGCAGCCGCAGGGTGCGTTGGGTTGGTTAGTACACCTCCTCTGAAGGAAGACTAGGCCACTGCTAGGAAAAAAAAGGGTGGTTTTCCATTGGATCGGCTTACCCTGTTATCACAGAAAAGGAGAGGGAGCAGATGGTGTGAAGGTGGAAGGGGAGAGCAGGAGGACCTCTTTCAGAGGCAGCCTGCAGTTAAACCAGTCCGGGTGCAGTGTCAAACCACCCCTCAGACCATGGTTTCACAAAAACCTGAAGCTGGCACAAGCTAGCAGTGCTGCTGAAAGCAGCCCCTCTGCCCCCCTCTTGCCCCGGCTGGTTTGTTCCTGCTCTCCCCTTGTGTTTGTACAGTGAACCCGAGCAGGCGAGCTGTCTGGTCAAAATGAAGCTGGTAAAAGTTGCTAAACTGTGATGGAGATTAGTTGCCTGATGTGAGTCACCATGTGGCAACAGGAGGACCGGTGAGAGGGGCCAGGGTGGCTCCTTGTGACAGGACTGCTGGCTGAACGTGTCCCCGAAAGCGTGGGCTGGGACCCAGAACCCTCAAGGCTGTTTGGTTGCTTCATTGCTGTCTGGTTGCCCAACACTCAGTGAAGTTTCAGCTCCCAAGCGCCTCTGTGGATTTAGGCTTATGGGATTTCTAGCAAAGCAAGGACTTTAACCCACATCTCCAAAGTCTTGGCCTGGGGCATGAGCCATCAAACCCTTGGTGCTGCAGGGATGCTGCTCCCGGGCTGCAGGCATGGCTGCCTGTGTGTCCATTTCCCATGATGTTCTTCACTGTGTTACGAGGCAGGAGGTGGAGAGTTTTTCCCCAGACTCAGAGTGGTAAGCGCTTCATCACAGAGAAACAGCCAAGAGGGCTGGGAGTGACATCAGAGGGTTAATGAGCTCAGGGCTCCTCGGCTGGACAGGGAAGGGATGTCCTTGCTCCAGCTAGGTTTCCACAAAAGTTTCAGTCTATTTTCAAATTGGCAGTGCTGCCATCCCCTGTTGTTTCTGCCCCACCAGTGCTGGTACCTACCTCACCCCTCGGTGAGCTAATCCAAGGTGATAAGACAACAAAACTGGGTTTATAGCAAAGAGAAAAGAAGGGAGCAGTTTTCTGACAGCTTGGCACTTTGAACCAGCCCACCGAGGAAGCAGCAGAGTAGCAACGCCAGTGCAAGGTGAGGGTGGCAAGCAGGAGCTGGGTCCTGTCCGTGCAAGCTTAGATAAGGGTTGCAGTCAAAGGTACAGAGGACAAATGGGAGATACAAAGGCCCTGCGGGTCCTACCTGATTTGTGTCCCCTGATTGCTCATCAGCCTGCTGCCAGACATCAGCGGTGAGTCACACTGACCTGTTCCATCCCAGTGCCCCAAGGTAGTGCCAGCTTCACCCAACTCACCACAGAGAAGATTTCTTAAAAGCCTCCAAGGGTGGAGATGCCACAGTCTCACCAAGCGGTTGGTCCAGTCCAGGCAATGGCTGTCCTTGCAGTTATCACAACATTAGGAAATGTTTCCTATCATCTCACCTAAGCTCGTTGCTTCCAGCCTATCCCCAGGGCACACAGGAACTGTTTACTCCTCTTCTCTTACACTCTCTTTTTATAGAACTATGAGCCCCTTGGAGACCTTAAGCAGAGTTGTTGATGCCTGGTCTCTGCCTGGCATGAAGCACCCGTGAGCGGGCATGGCTCCTCTCCTACTGCTTGTCCCTGCAGAGACTGCATGCCTCACTGAGCAGCCATTCCCCTGGAAAGGTCTGGTTTTTCTCTCCCTGCCCCAGTAACCTTGTGCCCTTGCCCACGCACAGAGGAACCTTCATTGAGTTTCGCAACGGGATGCTGAACATCTCCCCCATCGGACGGAGCTGCACCCCAGAGGAGCGAATCGAGTTCTCCGAGCTAGACAAGGTACACGGGCCGGACTCGGGCTCACCCTCCCCTTTGCTGATTTTGCACCACCACAGATCTCGGGTCTTACCTGCTTCCCCCCCTTCCCACGGAGAAAGGAGCCCAGCTCCAAGCTGTGCACCAGGCCAACACATGCAGCAAGGTGGAGACAGGACTGGGGGCCAGAAAACGCAAGGAGAGACACAGATGAATGGAAGAATTTGACTTCATTGGGGACCACCGATGCAATGGGGTCTGTGTGGGAGAGCCCCAGGGAATAAGGCACTTATTTAATAGAGTGTCTCCTCGTTTACAGTAACCAAAGAGAATTGCACTGAAAACCTCAGAGACACCTAAACCACTCAGGTTGCGCCATCCCTCCAGGCTGGCCCAGCAGCTGTCTTCTCTCTCCCACTCCCCCAGCCCCAACAGAGCTGGAAATAATGGGCCTGCCAGACTGGGACGGCCACAGCAGATCTGCTGGGCAGATCTCTGGAGTGTTTGGCCCAGGCAGTTTCTGCCTGGTGAGCGGAGGTGGGGGAAGTCTTGGGGTTGAGAGACTTTTCAAGACTTTGCAAGACTTTTTAAGCAAAGCTGGAGACTTTGGGTTATGGACTGGGCTTCTGGGAAATTGAGGCAGTTGTATTTCATTGCCAAGGAAGGGCTGGGATCTGCTCTTCCCAGGAGCCTCCTGGAGCTGCCCTGAACTGGTGGGTTTTTACACGGACGCTGGGCAGGACTGGTGAAAGCTGGCTAAATGGCGTTACAGCAGGGGGCAGGTGGGAAGGGGGAATGCGATAAGCCACAGTTGCCCAGCAGACAGCTGTATGGTGACTTTTGGTAGACTGCCAACATTTAATTATGCAAACCTTTCTTCCTTCCCTTTCCTCCTCCACAGAAAGAGCGGATCCGGGAGAAGTTTGTGGCAGCCTTGCAGAGGGAGTTTGCTGGCAAAGGCCTGCGTTTCTCTCGAGGTGAGTAGAGGGGGCATCCCTGGCTTTGTCCTGACCTCTTTATCGTGTTTCCCATAAAGTGCTGGGAAGGGGAGTGGAAATCCTGGCTGTTCCCTCTAGAGAGACCTTGGTAAGAGCACAAGGAGCTTCTGTTCCTGGAGAGCCACCATGGGGGTGTCACGTTGGCATTCATGCAGAGAATAAACCATGCTGCAGATTTGCCTCCCTGGGAATCAGCCAGACAGGCGGGTTTCTGTCCCGTGATGCTATCCTTGCCTTAATTCCAGTTAGCGCTGCAGAGCCCACCCCTGCCCTGGAGGTCTGTCCTGGCTCAAGCATCAGCAGCAGGGTGGCCAGCCGAGCTCCAGGCACGTGCACTTCTCTCTGGGAATGCCATGGTGTAAGGGAGACAGGAGCCTCGTGCATGTCCCGGCTCTGGGGTTTTGTTGGGAGGGTTGGATACGAGGGAAACATCTTTCTTCCTGGAGGAAGAGCTGCCGAGAGGCAGGGAGTTTGCAGCTCTGTGCCGTGGCCTTCTGCAGGACCACTTCTTGGGGTGGAGGTCTGCTCTTAGAGCCAGCTTACCCAAGGTGAGGAACCGAAGGAAGGGCTTGAGAAATCCTGGGGGTCTGGCCAGGACAGGAAGGAAAATGAGGGTGTTGAAGCGGTGGGGCTGAAGCAGAGCGGTGGGTTTGTGTGAGATAAGAAGGTGCCATGTGGCAGCCTAGCCAAAGGACAAGGGGGTGACAAGGCTGGGAGGCAGGAGGTGACACCCCACTCTTACACCCAGAGGGTCTGTCCCTCTGGTCCTCCAAGGGCTTTGCTCCTGAAAGCCTCCCCTTGCCTTCAGCGTCCTGCCAGGGGCATCCTGTGCTGCCCGCAGCTCTGACACACACCGTTTGTCACAGCAGAGAAAGACAAGGTCCCCGCCGCCGTGTCCCTGCAGGCACGGGGGACGAGAGCAGAACAACGGGCCTTTCTCCTCTGAATTTGGGAAGCCGCCATGAAGAGCCCAGGCCTGTTGTGTAAAAGCGTGAAGACAAGGGGAGCTGCAGCCCCCCCAGCTCCTCCACAAAGAAAACGCGGGTGTCTCAGGTCAGGCATCCAAAAACAGGGACACGCGGAAATGGGGCTCTTCTGCCAAGCTGGCTCCCTGTGCCTTGTCCCAGGCTGTGGAGGCCGCAAGTCCCAGAGGTGGTAGGAGATGTCCCTGCAGCCCCTCAGACCCGTGCTCTGCCTAGGCAAGGGACAGTGCTGGCTGTCCTCCACACCCTCTCTTCTCCCTTTGATTTCCTACCCTCTCCAGCTGACGTCAGGAGCCCCTTCTTGCTGCCCAGCTCTGTTTAAAAGGCCAGAGCGCAGTGTAATGTGGTGTTTTTCACAGGTAAATCACCTTGGATACAAAGCCAGGAAAGATTTATGAGGTCAGCCAAGTTTGGCTCCTGCTCTGATGCTGGCTCCTGCTCTGATGCTGGCTTCTGCTGCGAGCCTGGGGGCATCCCCATCCCTGAGCTTGTAAGGCATTTGCTCCTGTCCATATCACAGTGAATCCTCCTCCCCGAGCTGGACACACAGGCTCCATCCCTGGCTCCTCAGGCTCCAAGGAGGGTTGGTTTGGGATTCCCAAACCAACAGGGATACCTCAACCAGCCAGGGAGCAGAGGGGCACAGCATCAGGATACATAAGTTTGAACAGCCCGGGGAATCAGTGCCTCTCCTGCAGCAGGGACCGTCCCTGTGGGTACCTGTCTACTCACCCCCTTTCTAAGAGAAGTAGGGTTATGATTTGTGAAGAAGGAGAATGTGAAACTCCAGGATTGCTGGTGGCCCAGTAGATTGCCTGGAGAAGCAGGGGGTCCCCTTGAAACTAAGAGGAGCAGAGATCTGAACTGGCAGGAGGATGCACATCCCAGCTGAAATCCCTGTTCCTCCTGGCTCCGAGCGAGACCCAAACATATGTGTGCACTAAGTCACGGGCTTTGTTTTGGGAGGAACGTGTCACCTGTGTCAGTGCTGGGACAAGGGTCTGGCTCTGCAGCCTGGGCATGCAGCGGGGCAGGTCAAGAGAATGAGGAGGGTGCTGCCTCCAAGCACCCGCAAAAGGCAGCGCCGTGCTGGGGTAAACTCTGCCTGGTCTAAGAGCAAGGGCTAGGAAGTTTGTAACCCTCGGTGGCTGCAGGTGTCCATGTGCACATGTAGGCATGCTCTCTGGGAAAGCTCCCTTACCTCTGTTCGTTTGCCCTGTCTGCCTTGGTGTCCCTCCAGATGTTGGCAACCCACACTTGACTCTTGTGGCAGGAGGTGACAGGCCAGGGTCGTGCCCCTATTATGTCGACGGGTTCATGGTACCTCTATGGCAAGGTCCTTGGTCCTTAATCAGCGTGCAGAGCCTGCTCGGGGCCTGCAGCGTGGCCAGATGGGACCCCTGAGCTGTGCGGTGCATGGGGTTTGCTTTGCGTGTGCGGGGTGCCGGGAGCCCCTGGTCCCTGCAGGGTTAAGGAGCATCGGAGCAGTGCTTTTAGAAGGGCCAGTGATGTCCACACAGGAGCCTAGAAGAGAGCTTGGAGCCAGTCTCCAAGAACATTGTCCCCTGTTGAGACACAGAATGTGCTGATGCTATCTGCAAGGTGTGACCCCAAATCTCCCCCAGTGGATGCATCTCTTGGGACCCCTCACCCCAGCACCCCCCCTGCAGCCCGCTGGGTCCTGCTTGCCTGCCTGCCTGCAGTCAGGGGAGCTGTGCTGATGTCACCCCAGCCATGCTGATGTCACTCCAGCCTGTTGTCATAGGAACAGCATCTGCTACTACCCTAGCCACATGCCAGAGAGGCACACCAAGGCAGAGCTGGTGCTTGGCTGCTGTTTGGGGTGGGGGCTACCCACAGATATCCAGCCCTCTCCCCTCCTCCTGCCCGTCCCAGGGTGGGGGAACACGCTGCCATCTCCCACCAACGTTGTCTGATGCCCTCCCTTCTGCTGGCAGGTGGCATGATCAGCTTTGACGTCTTCCCAGAGGGCTGGGACAAGCGCTACTGTCTCAACGTGCTCGATGACGAGAGATTTGATACCATCCACTTCTTTGGGAACGAGACGACCCCTGTGAGTATGCCCCGCTCGCCCCGCACATGGCCGCTCTCCCTCCTTTGGCCTGGCAAGCCTGCATGGAGCTGCTCCGTCATGGGTCCCACGGCCTGGGTCCCACCTGCAGCCGACGCAGACCTCTAGTGGTGCGAGGGGGAGAGATGCTCTCGTGCGGCATATGTTTGCGGCACGGTCGTGATGGCTGCAGGCCCGCTGGGTCATGGGGAAATCACCCTGGATTCACTGTGCTGGGGAGCAGGTCCAACTCATCATTGCTTTCGTCTGGCCGGCAACCTCGGGAAGGGGGCAGCCACTCCTGCGACCCACAGGACCCGAAACATGAGACCCCAGCACTTAAGAGAGAACTTTTTGACAGTGGGAACAGCTTCGTCTTCCCTTTAGAGGGGTGGAGGATGATGCTTCTTTGCTGCTCTAGACCAGCTTGGCCATCCACTCGGCTCTTTGCAGATGATGGCAACCTCTGCCCCTGAAATGTGCCCACCCCACCTTCTGCTGTCCCCTCCACAGGCAGGGCAGGGGTTAACCCCAGGCTCCGAGCTTGTCCAGGACCTTCCCCATCTTTTCTGTGCTCCTCCCCTGGCACTGAAGAGGGGAGGGGAGAGAGGGAGGGAGGAGGGCTCCCAGCCCAGCCTCTTCTGCCTCCCTTGGGCCGTCAGAGACATCGACGCCCGT